GCCTTTTTATTGGTGAGCACAGACGCCTTTTTATTGAGAGCACGGTAGAGGTGCACATTATGGCACTTAATGCCACTGCACAATGTAACACCAACACCCACTTTTCACTATTTTTTTATGAGTCCCATTAATAGGCGGTGAGCCTATTGCCATATACCGGACACATTTCCAGACTCCGTGCTACTACTGAGGTTTTTAAAAACACAGTTATACTTTACCCGACCCGGGAATCGAACCTGAGACCCCTTGCCCGGCAGTCGCACTTGAGACCACTCGGCCCACGAGGCAAAATTTTGCATACATATCCAATTATAAATCTGTTGAAAATACTGTAAAGAAAAATATACTGAAGCGTTATTCTATTTAGATTAAAATAATTTAATGCAGAACTGTGTTCACTTAGCCAATTAAGTAATAATAGCAGCATTTATATTATCAACATTTACAATTTAAATAAATTGGATAAATAGCAGCAACTAACATTACACGTGTTTGTTTAACTTTGATATATAAGTAAATATACTTCTTGGTATATTATTATTTTATTATGTTCATAATATGTATTTCATTATCACATATAGGATACCGGTTTTTTGTACAAGAAAATGCACTTTAGATAAAGAAAACGTTCAGGTTCTGGGCGTAATTTTAAATCCAACAATTAATTTTAAAATACCTGCACTGGCTTCATAAAACAATCATAACTATAAAATAAATCATTTTTTGAAATGCGACCGTCATTGTTTGATTACGTCATTATAATTATTCACGGAGCTCTCTTCCCCGGAAGCGATTCCGCTACGCACATATGTCACCTGTGGTGTTGCAGGTGCAGCTTATGCTACAGTGACCGTACCGTTCAGACAGGTCGCATGCTACATTGTTACCGATAGTACTGTAAAAATGAGAAATAAGTATACTAGTTTAAGTATATTTCAATTTTATACCACGTCCCGGACAGAGCAGGTATTGAAACGGGGTTTTTTGTCAGTAAGTGCCTGACACTCCCTCTCGCCTCACCCAGTTCGGCTCAGAGACATTCGACGATTCTTTCCCTTAAAAAAGGATATTTTGTAGGCATTTCGACTTACTCAAACAGAAACTAAGTTGGTGAAATTAATAGTAAAACAAAAGACAGACAATAGGTTGACCCAGTGGCAGCCATAACAATAGGCGGAACCATTCAACAATCATCAGGTTATACAAATATATAACGGTGTTTAATTCGATTTCACTTCCAGGATGTATGGTACTATCACAATGCAATATTACTATGATAATATTATAGTAATTAGTACTACAGATTACTTTACACGTACTCTTTGTTCATTGATAAAGGTAAGGACACTATCTTACTTGTTCCAAGATCAGGATTTGTTCGGATATTTCAGAAAAGTATTTCTTTTTCAGTATTTAAGTTCAAAATTGTTAATTTAGTTGTGTTTGGAGTAAAGGTGAGAGTTCATGAATTCAATTTACGATTAATAATCCGTTTCACAGAATTGCTAAGGCCATACCTTTGAAATTCTGTAGATCGTCGTAACAAACAGATAAACAGTTTAATACCCACTAAATGTTACTGTTTGTTGTGTGTACAAAATGTTGATGTTGTTAAAGATATTTATAGATGCGAAAGCTTCTAAGAAGGTATTTATTGAATTCGCCTGAGGGTGAAAATTTAGGTGAAATCACAGAAAATAGGCTATGTATAAAACGCTATTATTCCATCTGATTAACCCACATGTAGACCTTATACAGTTAGATGCCTGTACGCACGGCCACACATCAATCTATACAAAACCAGTTTATCCTGGTGTCGCGTCGCATTATCTTTCCGCACATTTAACGTTCAGTTTATACTGGTTATGTAAAGCTCGATGTGTAGCCGTGTGTACTAGGAAAGCCCTGTATCACAGGCTAAAGTAGCTATTATAGATAGTACATGTGGCAGATGGTATCTCAAATATTTCCATGTTGTTGCGCTTTCTATAATGCAGTTTCTGGCTACACACAATTTCATCATAAACTAGTAACTAGTAAATTAGTGGGTCCTAGCTTACAGTTTATCAAACACGGGATCGCAACAACTAAACTAATTTGTTCAAAATGTTGTTCAATTTCTATGCAACGATATTGTGTTTGCGTTCTATGAAAACCTCAATTTAAGCAAAATTTTGTCTATTTAAAATAACAAAGGTACTAGAATATTGAAATTAATTTTATTTTATTAATTTTATACTTTTACTAGTCTTAAGATAGTTTTACTTGATAGGTACTGGAACGTAGTTAATACGATTTCATTTAATATGAACGGTGACCTTTATCGGTACGCCAATAGATCTCTTGATATTTTTCTAAGAACGCGTCTAATGAACTTCTTGAAAGGATGATCAGTTGTAATTCAATTAAGGACGTTTCACTTCGAGCTGCTTGAAGGATTTATGCAGAAAACTTGTTATATTCCATATTAAATCATTATTTTTCTTCTTATTGCTATGGTTTTTAATATAGGTAAATTACTTTCGATAAATGCAAAAGTCCACAAAGATGTCATTTAGATGTAGTTATAAAGACGTCTAAAAGTGAAACTGCGTTTTTAATTATCTCTTTCAATATCTAAAGCTCTATAGACACTTCGAAGCCAAACTATTTATACAGAAAATGTTAAGTTAGCATGAAGTGCTTGGACAATAAACTGAACAGCGGGTACCAAATGTAAATACTAGTAATCTCTAGCACAAACCGTTTTCACCAGATCAGGACAAAGTGAACAAACAATATTACTATCGTAATACAATTACCCGAACCGGGAGTCTTGTACTATTGACTAGTATTTCAGAGCTCTAAGTAAAACATTATGTTTGTTAGTACCTAGGTTTTTTTTCGTTCTCTTCAACCAAGCTTCAGCACATTATACAGGGGAACAAAAGCCACATCACTCAATTCCATGTACAACACTGCTCACGAAGCCTGTTGTTTAATAAAATACTTGAACGATAAATAAAAATATCGCACCACGGACAGGTAATGGACGTGTAAAAACCTGGAGTCCACTCAGTACGTCCACAAGTCAAACAATATTCCAGTGGGTGAGTGCGGGTGAAATTGAGCCCCGAATCATTTATAAATGGGGGAGGTTCCACGGGCCGCTCCATAGGAGGGGAAAGGTGTGCCACTGCATTTTGCATGAGTTCAATGTTGGTTGCTCGATCTGCCTCATTCCACTCGCCTTGCTTGCACATCTATACAAACTTCGTGTCTTTTATTATAGATTATCCAATTGCCAATCGCACGTTAAATAATGCTTACAAATGTGTTTGTAACAGAGAAATAACGAGTAATCGAAGTTCGAGAGAATACTATTGTAATAAGCCGGAGAAAATGAATGAACGTTCATTCATACAAGATTTTACATTCTCGTACTATCGCTGCTAGAACGTAAACTAATTACGAGGATAGAATATCAATGTGTTAAAAGGTTTTATTGGAGTGTATAACAATATTATTTAGTTTATTATGATTACTGAGAAATATTTTGTATTAGATATTTATCTTAGCTTCCTTGACAAGTTTAGCTATCGTTTAGATATTTATATTTTAAGGTTTTAGAATCTTCTGAAACTACAAATCGACAGATACCTACACGAAATATTTAATTGTAACCTTTACCGAAAGGCTAGTAATTACCGATAGCTCACCGACCAGTGATCTAATGTTTAATTCAGTTATTGATTTAGGCAAGGCGCTACGGCCAATACCACTTATCAGAGTAATAATTATTAGCGTCGCCTCATCTTTTATTCAAGGAAATATTCCAGGAATAACAATAGAGAAAGAGTTAACGAATAAATTAAAGTGGCAATAACAGGGTGAAATAATCCCCAAGATATGGAGTTAGTGGCGATTCTAGAGTAGTTTGGAATGTAAGGTTTGTGAACGCTCTGGGCTCAGAATTAGGGTGAATTTTTTATAAAGACGCAGGTAGAGGGGCGTTGGGGTGAAAGTCGGGGTGCCGGAGTCGCCGGCGCGGTCTGCATATTGCATTACATTTAAATTGTTTACGTCGTTAAGAAAGAAAGTTCTCCCAAACTGGGCGAGAGCCGAAGTTCCTCGCTGATGTTGGTATATTTAATTTTTCCGCATAATCGTATGGGATACTTTTGACCTGACTTCTTTGTTTTTAAATAACGTTTGATATGGAATACGATTCTGCAGCATGATTTACATTTCAAAATTAGAATGTTATTAAATTAGTATAATTTGAATAGCGGCACTAAGCTTAACACGTTCATTGTGTTATGACATATACGTGGGACAAGGTAGCTGCAACTAAATATGTATTACTCATTATTATCAATCAAATATTTATGGCTGATTTAAACTATGTTATTGTTTGCTTACAGAACATGATTGTAACAATAGCGTTGTGATCTTATTTGCCAAACAAAGGGCTATTGAGAAACATGTTGTGCTATTCTTAGTCTAGATCTGCAATCAGTGGCAAATGATCTAGTTGACAAGTCACTATTGCAGTTTGTGAAGCAAAATCAAATATACAGTATCTGTCAAGCCACCACTGTAGCAACAGTGTTTTATTAGAACACAAACAAGATCGCTGTCAAATAGACGCATTAGCGAATTTTAATCTAAATGTTGAGTAGAATATGTGTTTCGTTCAAGTGTTTGAAAGTGAACTTATATCATAAATCATTGTATATGTACAATATGCTGAGACCTTCGTACTCTTAACACAGTTGTGTGTCAGTGCTACAATTTCTAGAGTAAACTACTATTTTAATTTGAATGTTTCAAAATAGGTACTTATCAATGGTACTCAAAACAATGTAGTCAATGACTCATGAAAAGTGTTATAAAATATAGGGACCTCACCATTGTTCTATTTTGTAAATACATCGAAGAAGTATCTAACCATGATTGTGATAGTTACGTAATACTTAATCAGTTACGCGAGCGCTATTCTAAAGGACGTGTGTGTGATCATGAAGGTTTCTATAGTGACTTTAGTTATATTACTGTCTTTCAATCAAAAAGTGTCTTGTGCTCCAATATTCGACTATATTGTGGGCAAAATAACTGACATAGCTGATACAGTAACAAATACTTTCGTAAATATAAGAGCCCAAGTGGAAAATATATTATTAGCAACGGGCAACAATCGGCCCGTGTTACGACTACACTATCCGATGCTACACCAGCATGTAGATCCGAACTTCAAGACCAATTTCAATGACTTTGTAGAGAAAGCAGCAGCTGAGAACGAAACGGAAATTCCAGAGTACATCAATCTAAAGTCGGAGCCGACTGCGCTCATGTCCACGCCACAGCTGGCTACACTACATGGAAGGAGAGTAGAATCACACATCATTCATACAAAAGACGGTTACCTGCTTACTTTACATCGGATATCACCACGCATGGACCGAAGTGCAGAATTGATGGCAGTTAACCAGACAGTGATACTTCATCATGGTTTACTTGGCAGTTCCGCAGATTGGATTTTGTTAGGACCCGAAAAATCTCTTCCATACATTTTAACTGACGCAGGCTACGACGTTTGGATGGCAAACGCTAGAGGCAACTACTACTCCCGTGGTCATGTGAAAATGGCTGTAGACTCCGATGCTTTTTGGAGGTTTTCTTTCCAAGAAATGGGAGAACACGATCTATCGGCAGTTATCGACTACATTCGAAATGTAAAAAAAAGTGATGATCCGATTGACTACATAGGACACTCGATGGGTGCAACGGCATTACTAGTATTACTTTCAACAAATCCTCAATATAATAAGTATTTAAGAGTTGGTATCCTGCTTGCACCGCTCGTTTTCATGAGTAACGTCGAAGGACCGTTTAAAGTTCTGACAGCCATGGCATCTAGCCCACCAGAACAACTCCTTAAACTTATAGGTAACAAGGAGTTTGTACCTACTCGGAAAATACCAAAATGGCTTGCGTTAAAATACTGTAAAGGTCCATTACTGTTTTGCTGCAACCCTTTATACTTTATCAGTGGTGGTATACCGGAAGATAACCACGCCTGGAATCTTAGTTTTCTTGCAAGATTGCTGTACCACGTACCAGCTGGTGGGTCAACAGACACGATAATGCACTACGCTCAGTTGGTGAAAAGTGGAAAATTTCACAGGTACAATAATGTGTATGAAGAGTTTCCCCTCAACCAGGTGACGTTGCCCATTGCTTTGTTCAGTTCCAGTGAAGATTGGCTGGCGACTATTCCTGATGTACTAAGGTTATACTTTAGTATAGTAAATCCTATTGACCACTATATAATTCGCGGTAGAAATATGAGCCATACTGAGTTCGTTTGGGGAGCTCGTGCTGACGAAATTGTTTTCAAGAAAATATTAGAGTTCCTGGATAGTGGCCTAGCCATTATTGGAAATGCTAAAAATTCTAATGAAGTTCATTCTAACCTTGCTTAGATGTTGTTTTACCTAAGTGTAATGAATTTTGATAGACAATCAACGAAGACATTCAAATGGATTAGCCATTTTAATGTACTTTTATACTGCCATACTTGAATTATTTTATTATGAAACAGCTTTTTTCTGTTTTGTTTATATACCATTCCAATAAAAAATGTGAAAATCTGTGCTTGGTCATTTATTTCTGGTAATCAAAGGTCTAGTAATCATTAGAAACAAAGCCCATAAAGCTATGATTAATAGCATGCAAACGACATGCCTCGATGGTTGTATTTGATTTGCACCATGCAAGTTTTATGTGGAGTGCCACCACCGACGGACCGACGTCGACGCTTCAATGACATGTCGAAAATGTCAACATAAAAATAAACAATAAAGATATTATTATGTTTTTGAAATCACCACGATTCTCAGCCATACCTACAATAATAGTAAATGTTGATTATTTTGTCATTGAAAACAGTCTGTATCTGCTTACATCGTTCAGATTGTATTCTTATTATAGAAAAATCATGATATAATCTTTAGTAGTACATGGCATTATAAGCTATTTATAATGGTAAACCGATTATAAGATTTTTTGTTAGTTATTAATTTCATTTTTCATTTCTCTCGAATGGTTTCGATTTTAATACTTCATCATCAGGTCTATTTTATAAAGATGAAGTTGGTCTTATGAAGTATTTTATATCATTTAGATGCACAATTAAAATGAGATTAGAATTGCAAAATCAAACACGTGCTTCTTACTTCTGCTTACGTTTCCTATCCAGATTGATGTTATTCTTAGTGTATACAATATGTAATTAATTTTCAAATTCGTGGTACCTAGATAATTTACATTTGTTTCCAAGTATTCGTAAAAATATTCGAAACTAAACTAAGAAATGTTAAAAATAAACGCTAACTAGTTTTCCTATAATGTCTATTTTTGCCATTATGATATGGTGAGTAAATCTAAAGTGACTAAAACCAGTGATGCAGTATTTGATTAATAACTTATTCAAGTATTCGCTCTCACCGATGATGTAAATCCTTTGAGAATGTGTAATTTAAGTTGGAAACATGATGCTGAAGCTGATGCTCGTTACTTCAAAGTTTTTATGTCGGAAAGTCGGAAAAGACATGTTAGTTATTAAAGTACGGGGATTTAATCAACATTGCTTTCATATTTTATACTAACTTTACTTTCTCGTAACAGTATTTTTATAAACACATGTTTAGATTAAATTTCTCGTAAGTAGAAACTGTATAAAATCAGTATATTAAATATTATAACACGGAACACAATTTTAATCTACAAACTTCAACAAATTTTATTAAAAATATCGATATGAAGTAAGACTCTTTATAAATTGAGAACGTTGTAAATATTATTTTTATAATTAATAAAAAGAAAACCCGTACGCAATTACAGTACAAACATACTTTAATTAATTAGTTCATTAAATTCTCAGCATATTTTGAACGCCTCTGGTCCGTATAGCATTTACCTTATTGTAGAGATAACCCAAACAATTCTTTGTTTATCGATAAAACAAAGGAATTCGACCCATGGCACGAGACAATGAAGACAGGCGAATAAAAAAACGGAGAATAATTTGCAAAACAGATTTACATTAATGTTATTCAGAGAACATTAGCCGGGTGCGTTGTTTAACTGAAAAACCTTTATTTTAATTCGCTGTCCAAAATTAGTATCTAATGCAAATACGGATCCCGAAATGATTCGGTTTATACTTTTAAAACAGAAATACTTTTGGACTTCTAATTCTTTTACCATGCAATTGTTGGTTGAATCTGAAAGAGATTATCTGGGTTTTCAGGTTGTGGTTTTAGTCTAAACACTTTCTTAGTATTATGAAACGTATTAAGCAACTAAGTGTTGAGTGTAAAGTAAGTACATATTTGTAAATGACGTAACAATCCATTTTTCTTTAATTTGCTTTTATCTTAGGGTTCGTACACAAAACTACGATGCGATACGATGCGAATTCGCAACGCAAAAAATTACGAACCAAATTGCTGCGATGCGATTTCGTGCGACAAAGTGTTCCCCAAGATGACTATTCCTTCGATGACCCTCAACTGTACTAAAAGTATTTTAAATTGAAAACTAGGTCGTGAACTCGTGACATGGATCGTAAAAAGAAGTGTGCACTTCTGTTATGGCTCAGGAGATACAGTGAAGAAACGAAGAAGATTTTGGGAATATAAGATTTTGATGCGCGATGCGATTAATTCGCAAGTTCTTGCGATCTGTAGAGGGAGCTCGCACTTAAATGCGATGTGACGTCGCATCGCAGTTTTATGTTTGTTGTTAAACAGATTGCTCATAGGTAGGCATGCTCCATCGTCGGCCACATCATCGCTTATCATCAGGCGAGATGATGGTCAAACGTCGACCGATATATATAAGAAAAAAAGAAATATAAGAGCCCTTCTGGTAAGATAATGTGTTGTTTGTATATTCACACTGAATTTTTAACCGGCTTTAAAAACAAAGAGGTTCTCTGTTTGACGTGTACGCAAAATCGATTTTGATGTTGTTTTTAAAAAGGTGATTCTTAATTCAATTTAATAAACTTTGCATAATCATCAACCGACCTTAAAAAAGAAGGGGTTCAAGTCGTTTTTAAACGTAGGTAGCGTATAAAAGATTTATAGGTACGTCATTAAAATATTTGTAAAGCAAACGTAGATACGTTATGAATCAATTCTGGGTAGGTAGTGAACACTTATGCAAATGTAGGCGTAATATTTCTGCAATATGTTGTGTAAGTATACACCTACACAACATCACTGTAACAATTTTCATTTTAACTTTGTTAGCACGGCACGAAGAAAAGTTCAGAGGCTCCAGGCTTCTATAAATGCATCAGCAGCGCGCGGCACACTGCCGGAAGCGTATTGATAATCAGATTCTCCCACAAATATCACTAGACCTATAGGTTGCAAGGTTGCAGTATACCACAACTTCCATAATTTACTTATAAGCAAGAATTTTCCATGAAGAAGGTAGTAAAATGTTTCATTTATAAATTGACGTCACACAAGCGTCTCTTGAAAACTGACCTCAGATTAGGACAGACAGTATTTGTACTTCCTCGACGGGAACCAAGATTAACCACTGATATCTAGCTGTCTGTCCTGTGTTAATGTGTGCCTTCTTTTATTTATAACATCGTTTTTCCAGCTGTGTGTGACAGCACGGTTGACGTGATGACTGGGAACCGGCTGCCACGCAACATGTGAAGGGTTCGATTCCCGCACGAGACAAGTCTTTGTGTGATCCACAAATTGTTCATCGGGTTTGGGTGTCATACTTATGTGAAATTGTAGGTATGTAACCAGTATCTATTGATACAGGAGAATATCCTGGTGTGGGGTGTTTTACGAAAAATAAAAAAGAAAGAAACCTATGATTTCAATAAAAGGTAAAAATACTATTTTTAATAAAATATTCTTTAATAAAATCAAAGTTCAAACACGGTGAGGTAAGATAAAATTAGTACCAAACATAAAAATACTAAAATAGGGCTAGACATTTATAATTAAGCATTTAAATATTATGTCTGTAAAGTATTATATCAGATTTTATACGACATTGAATGGTGATGTCAGAACAAATTGCCAGACATACGCCTTAGATAAAGAAATAGTTTTTACATGAAAGCAAAATATACTGCTAACACATGAAAAATATTTTAATGTAATTATTGAATTTCCTACATCCTTACCTTATTTTAAGATTATAGTATTAAGTATTAGTTGTACACATCTGGAGGTAGTACGAATAGGAGTAGGTAATAGTTAGTTGGTTGTTCTTTAACAAAATAATAATATTTTCTTCAACCGCAAACTCCAGACTGTGCATGGGTGGCCTCCTACATACAACTCCATAAATACCATTCGTTAGTTGCAAATAAGAAATTTCGTTTTCTATGAATAACTATTTTTTCGTCCGCCCTCTCTTTCTATATTTGAATGAAAGTATTTTTAATGAACTAACGTGGGTATTGGTTCTCAGACAATATTCTGAGTAAAATTTTCTAAGGTTCTATAAAAAGGTAGACAGACAGGCGTAGACAAATTAGGGATGACTGTCCGGCGAACAAAGTTGTCAACGATCGTAGCATGTTGACCTATGAGGACGCTTTGTTAGGTAACAAAAGAAGAACTGTATTTTGATGTTGAAGCATTGGGATGATGATTGAAAAATGTTGACAATTAATTGTTGAAAGTGAAGACACAGTGTACGGAGAGCCAATACTAGATGGAATGAACTAATGAATATGAAAAGTAAGTATGAAGACATTTAGAAGCAACCGAGAGATTTATTAAAACACGATTTGTATAAATGTAAGATAGGTCTTTATCAATAGCCCATGACAGTACATACCCGTTGGTTACGGGTACTTCTAATTTGGCCCTTCTTTAATATGTGGACAATTAGGGCAGTGTATATCTGTCTAGGGCGCTCTCTATCGACGACTGTGTTTATATCCGCTATGTATACATCTTTCGTTATACTTTTATGCTCTGGGTGTTGACTGTGAGCCTTCTATATATAAGACGGTTTGCTACAATCTGTACCCGCTTCTTTTACGTTTAAAGTACCTAATCGAAACCGCGTCTGTCGCTCTGATTTGTAGGTAAATTGTAGCCGACCAATGGTAACGCAGAATACGTACTCGTTTTGATTACTCAAAACATACATACATGTCGCAGATTCAAATAGATTTGAATCCACGTGTTTGAGATGTTCGTCCGCCATCTTAATATTTTATTCAGTCAGTGCGCACACGCGGTGCTGGCGACGTCTCGGTAGCATGTGAGAGATGCTCAATTGACGAACACACTACTGACAGATTGAAATGATACGTAGACAACTTAACTTCATAACAAACGAGGCTTGTATTGCCTTTCGAATAAATGAATAATTATTCATTCTCCGACATTCATACATATATAACTTCACGCCTGTCTCCCATGGG